TAAAAAATATAAAAAAAAATATTCTAGCGGGTATATTTAGCTGCTAGACGGTTTAAGGGATAGTTATAGACTATCTCAAATATAACAAATCTATAATATTAATAAAGTATATACAAAAATTTTTATTAGAATTATTACTAATTGGCTTAGCCAAATTATAATATAATATCCTATACTCAATTTAAACAAATTTGTAGTAACTTTACATACTTTTACAACACAACCAATTCATATTTTTACAAATATTTTACAAGAAGCACAAATCTAAAACAAAGAAATTTATACTTTTATAGAATAATTTTTATAAAATTAGTTGTTTGAGTCAATTTAATTTTATATTATTTATATAGTTTAAAGTACTTTTTAAAAAAAATAAAACTATAAAAAATAAATAAAAAAAAAGTACATAGGGAATATTATTAGTGTTATAGGATTCTACTATTAAAAATGATCAAAATCTCTTTTTGTTTTAACAAAGTTAGTATTATAATAACTTCTTAAAAGTAGATCAAGCAAGATTATTACTATGCTAACTTTTTTAAAATAAAAAAGAATTTTGTTTCTTTAAATAGTGGAGTCTTATAACACTAATAATACTTTCTATGTACTTTTTTTATTTATTTTTTATAGTTTTATTTTTTTTAAAAAGTACTTTAAACTGAATAAATAATATAAAATTAAATTAACTTAACCAACTAATCATATAAAAATTATTCTATAAAATATACTTAAATTTTTTTCTATAAACTATTAGCTTATTGTAATAGACAAAAGAAAAACAAATTTCTTGCAATATGAGTTCTATTTATTCTAAATCAACTAATAAATAATATATTTTATTAGTAGTATCACCTATACTGCAAGAGATCCAAAAAATACAGTATCTGACAAAAGTTTTCCTGCATCTGTAATTTTAAAAGTTCATGTGTAGAAGTATAAAACTTCATACAGATGCAATATATTGCATATGCAGATTGTATTAAACTTCTTCAGACAGTGTATATAGCAGAAATATTCATACTACTTATACACCAATTTTTAATCAAAAAAATATCTTTTTCTTTGTATAAACAATATAAAATCACCTTTTAACCACACACCTGAAGGGCCCCAAGCTCTCATTTCAGAAAACAATGAAGCAGATTCACTGTGATAAAAAAACAGTACAAGAATAGGCAAAAATAGCAAGAAAGCAAAGATCTAAGTGACAAACCAAGGCTGGATTATCAAAGAATTACTATCCAAAAACAAGACAACCAAATTTTGAAGCTAGCAAAAGAGAACATAAATATTTTAATACCAGAAATCTGCTATGAACTTCTAAAACAGAATGTAGATATTCACATATATACTATTCAATAGTATCTTGGTAAAGATAGGGCTTATTATTACAAAAAACTTGCAAAATCTTTGCTTAGAGAGAAGCATTAAAAAAAAACTTTTGTAGTAAAGAAACATAAAGATTTTAACTGAAATTCTGCAATATTTACTGATGAAAGTACTTTCCACTAGAATTAAGGATTAAAAAAAGCTTGATAGTTTATTAGAACAAGAAAAATAATCTGTTCTGTTAAGCTTCTGTTAAAAATTTATATATAAAGATATTTTTCTTTTTCTGACTTTAGAAGGTTAATCTACTTTATATAAAACCTTAATGTGCAATTTATAACCACCTTGTATGAAATAGCACTTTTACCTTCTAATTTGGATTTTTTTGGTGAAGATTATAATAATTAAATTTTGCAAAAGGACAATAATCTGAAATACTGTTCAAAAATCACAAAAACATGAAAGGAGAAAAATGAAATCAAAGTTCTTCTCTGACTATTGATATTATCTGACTAAAACCTAATTAAGAATGTTTAGGGGTTTATAAAAATAAACCTGACAAAAAAATTAGAAAACTTAGTATTCTAAAAACACAAATAACAAAAAAATAGAATCAATTGCTAAAAGAATATATAGCTAATTTGGTAAGGAGTATAAGGTATTATGTGGAGACCCTAATTAAAGCTAAAGGTGATTATACTATGAATTAATTTTTGTATAATATCACATGTTTTTAAATAAAATTTTTTTCTACCATATCTCTGTGCTGAGTTACAGATATAAAAAACTTTGTTAAGCACTGTATACAGCCAGAATAAAAAAATAATTTTCAGCTAGAAAAATTGATCACAGTATTTTTCAAAAAGTAGCTATTTTTATACTTATTTAAATCAGAAAATTCTTAAAATCTATAAAATCTTTAATTTTCACATGATATTGTGATCTGCAGATATTATATCTTTATGCAAAGTGTAATAATTGATTTGTAATTTTCAGAATTGATTCAAAATTTTTATCTAATCTTTATCTTAAACATTTACTTACATGGTTAATCTTGAAAACAAACTCAGCATCTATACAAGGAATGTTATCAATACTATGCTATAAAAAATTTAAAAAATTAAATATAGATTGTAAATATTTTATATAAAGAATATTGTTAACTTGCCCCCTGGTATCATTAACCACCCTATGATTTACCAATCAGGTTGCAGAATCTTGTGTAACAAAATAAAGAAATTTTTTGAAAAAGATTAAAAAATTATCAATATTGCAAAATTTTATTAGAAAAACTAGCTTTGAGCTATATAATTTTGCATATAAATAGCTTATACTCTAACATAATATAGCCTATATCTTAACCCTAATCTTTAAATAATATTTTTTTTATATAAAAAATTCTATAAAAATAAAGGGTAGTTAAAATTTATAATTTTAGCCAGGAGTTAAAATTAGTTAAATTCTTATATGAAATGATCATAATATTAAGAAACATACCTGATGATGAATTCATCAGGAGCTTGTAGAATAATTTTACTTTCATGACCGTAAGCAATATTAAAGGCAAGATTAGTAATGTATGGAGTAGAATCTGGGAACTTAGTCATATGTTTGTAAAGATGATCCCCAGATTTGGTTTCAAAATTTTGGAAGCCTGCTAACGATTTCGCTTCGATTGGAGGTTTCGTAACATTCAAATTGGTTCTTTTCCAAGTTTTTACCCAAATCTTTTCACTCTTATCTTCAAGGCCAGCGGCCAATAAAAATTTCGATACTATCACTATTCAATACATAATTTTTAAGATCTGCTGGTTTCTAATAGTCTGAAATTTTTGGGAATCTATCTATAATCATTAAATTAAACATCGGTTCTATTTTAAGAGTGAGCTTGTATATAATTCCTAAGAGACTTTTGCACGGAACCAAAGTTTTAAAAAACCAATAAGAAAATAATTTTGTATACATTTACTTTTTGTTTAAAGGATGAAAAATTGCCAAAATTAGTTCTAGCTACATTCATTTTACGGGATCTATCTCATCAGAAAATTCAAGTTTACCATCGGATGTTACAATTTGAAAGGAGGTTACCTTATCCGAAATATTTGAATTCGCGGTTCTTGCACCATGAGAACCAGTCGACACAGTGCCGGAAGTGTTACAGTGTCCAATACAGACGAAGCATCCATCATTAATGGAGGGTCATGATTTATCAACTTTTCATCAAGATCTTTAAAATATACACCTATAAATTCAATCGGATAAGTTAAAATATTAAAAAGCAGAAACAATTATTTGCTAATCTTTAAGAATTCGGTCCCCAAGCTCTTCTCCGACATTATTTTCGCTAAAAATATTTCCCTGTCGATTACTTCTTCAACACAACTTACCCGACGATCACTTCTCCGACACGTCCGACACGACAACCTCCCCGACATTTACTTCCCCGACACAACAACTTCCCGAAAATCACTTCCCCGACACAGTTGCATCCCAAAAAATAACTTTGCTAGGAAGATGGCTGTTGAGTAAGTAGTTGTCGGTGAAGTAGTTGTCAGGAAAGTATTGTCGGGAAAATATTGTCGGGGAGTGTTGTCGGGGAAAACTTATATCGAAGAAACTATTTGTTTGCAAAATGGATGTGTCAGGGGAACGATTGTCGGGGAAAACTTATGTTGAAGTAACTATTTGTCTACGAAATGGACGTGTCAGGAAAACGATTGTCGGGGAAATATTTTCGGTGAAAAATGCTGTCGGGGAAACAAATCTCGGGGAAGAGATAAGGATCCCAGATTTATATACTATTAAAATTGTATTGTTGAAATTATAAATCACTCATTTTGAGATTACTAAAAATCTACTAACTAATCTTATGTTAAAATAGAAAACTTATTACATACTATCAAAATTATAAACTTATCTATCGTTGATATCACATATATACCTACTATTAAAATTACAAAATTATAAATCTAAAATTGAAGAAATTAGTAAATAACAATAAATTTATCTTTTTTGCTCTAGTTTTTAGGAATTTAAAAAAACAAATATACGTAATAGTTATTTACAATTATTATTTTAAATTTTCAAAGATCAATATGTGATAAATATATAGAATATATATATAATTTTACCTATTTATAAACTCAAGATTTGCTATTTTACTTCAGAATTTGCTTAAATACATTAACATTCAGCAAACTGTTAACTTCAGCAGTATTTGCTAGAATTTTTACTTTCAATAGAACATTCAATTTTCAGTAAAATTTTTTATTTTTAGCCTTGTACTTGCAACATGATCTGTATACTAAAAACACTTTCAGTGCCATCCTTAATCTCAACAGATCTAGCATATTTTTAGAGATGGGTTTCATGCGTGTGCATGATTGAGGAATCATGCGCATTAATGCGCATTCATGCGCATGATACCGTTTCATGCGCATTTTATCCCATCAAA